GAAGCACATTTTATGCATATGTAAAAAATAATAATTTGTAAGCTTTAAAAAATTTAGCTAATTTAGCCAGCACCCTACAGGTGGCCTTTGGGAAGGCTACATCTCCAGGGCCTTCAAGGGAGATTTTGCGGGGATGGGGGGGCTTCTTTTATCTTATTTTATGTTCCCAAGGCTTCTGCAATGTAAGTGTCAGCTGGAATAATGGCGCTAACATTGTCAACACCATGGCAATGTATACGCAACAAGCCACACCAGATCTTGTACAGTTCTAGTGTAGATGTCATCGGTGGGCAACTACACAAAACGAGGAACAAGAAGCCGGTCATCATTTTTGTATTCTTTTAAAATAGTGGAAGGGTTTTTTGAGCAAGGGAAAGAAGGAGCAGTGGGACCGAGGAAATGCATGCCTCTTTAGGCTTGTAACTGTAAGTGTACTTGTTTCAATAGACACACTTCATAATTGCTGGCTATTTATTGAAGCCTGTACTAGAAATGTAAGCAGATCTAAAATCTCACCCCAGTCCTCTCTTCTCTTTTCAAGGCTGCAGCATCCATTTTGGCCTCATATTCTGCTTGCACTTGATCCCTTTTCTTTAGTACATTCTAGAAATACAGCAAAACCGTTATCAGTTTGCAGGATGTGCTCTTGCAAATGTAACACCATAAAGAGGTTACAGTATAAAAACAGTAGCTTCCTGATAAGAGAAACAAGAAAAACATGTGTAACTCTGTACACACATACACAATCACACACACAACGGTTGAACTTGATGGACCGTGTCTTTATTCAACCTGAAATACTATGAAACTCTATCTTTATATATAAATTCTATGGCACTGCGCTGGTGCCATAGAATTGCAATATTTTACACATTTATTGTTGGCATGGCAGCGCTAATTATGACCGATATACACTTATATTTTAGGCTTACTCCCATGGCACAGCTACTTCATAACACATAGTCTGTATCTTTATACCCCTAAATCTGGACCCTTTGAATACAAATGGATACTATAATTTTAAAGGGAAACTACCCTGTATTTTCAGGGAGCCACAAATCATTATTGCAGTCTATATAAAGTAATTCTAGTTGTGACTCACATCTGTGCCATTCCATATTTTTGTTACTGAATAAACAGTGATTTGTACAGTAATCCTAGAGGAAGATGTGCAGTCACCCAGGATCCCTGCTTAGCAACTGCAAAAATCAGAGTCAGCTACACAAGGGATGCATGGTTTTCAATCACCCAGTCAATACATTGACTTGCAATGTGAGTAGTAGTAGCGGAATTACTGTGTAGCACTGCAAAACAGGAAGAAGAGCCTGCATACATTATGTAATGAGTGACAGATGTATGTCTGTTCTTGTACAGCCAGCCGCACAGAAACCGGTGTCCATAAAAATCCAACTTTATTGTGGTAACATTCAAGATAAAATCCAAAATCAAACGTGTTAGAACAAATGCATCACCACGATATCTCTCACACCAACGCCTCTAGAGGCTGTTGGCTAGACACTGTAGCCTGCACCCGGAATTGAAGCAGTGAGTTCTTGATATGTATATGTATGTAGATGCATGTCTGTACCACATACACATAAAACTTTGTAAAGTACGAATAGTTTGTAATTATTATAATACATTAACACACTGGTGAGATTAATCACACTGAAGGATCACCACTCGCAGTAAGGGGGCATTTTTGGCAGGTGCAGAAGATACATCTGCTTTCTAAACTAAATTCATCATAACAAAATTGAGCATATTGGAGAATATTAAGTCATATATACAATGAATACAAGTTTTAAATATTCAAGAACATACTGAATTGATTAAAAACCTTTACAGGCATTTAAGGGTATTGTTAATAAATGTACCCATGTGAGATTGTACTTGAGATTGTGTTACCCACACCACTTGGTAAACACCAGATGCATTAAACAGGTACATACTTTAATGGTTGAGAAACTTTGTCAAGGAAAAAATTATGTTTGTTTTCTTATTTTTATTATTAAGCCAGAAATTGTACAGATTGTGTCTGTGTAGCAGATACTGCTTAATTCCCCACCATTGTGTCTGTGTTTTTGGTCCCCATCGTCTTAGATTGTAAGCTAGTTTAGGAAGGTTCCTCCTCACCTACTGTTTCTGTAGGTCAATGATGCTTGCCAGTGTTTCTTACTTGTCTAAACAATGGTACAGCGCTGCGGGAATTAGTAGGCGCTATATAAATATTGGTAATTGTAATTTCAATGCTGTTACACCATTATTGTCCACCAAGTGGCATGGCTAGAACCCAGAGTGCAACTTCTATGTAAAAATGCAACACATAATGGAAGTGTTCATACATACAGTACATGGCTCATCCACCAAGCAGAATGAGGATGTTCCAAATATATCTTTATATCTATATATTTCCTGTGAAGAACAGCTGATGCCCTGGTGTGATGTGTTAATTCATAGCCGAAAATCATTGATACAACTGACCTTGGACTATCATCATAACTGTCGTTTTATGGTTAAAGTGAAGTGTGCCCATGCAGGTACAAGAAACAAGTTAATTTTAATGGTGGCCCCACGAACAGTGCATCTTGCCTTCCCTTTGATCCTCCATTGCTTTGTTCAGCCACTGGAAGTGAAGATGTATGCCTGGCACTTCAGGGTATGGAAAGTATGTGATTAACATTCCTACCTCCTGTGTGTTACTTGGCGATTGGCCACTCAGGGACCCAAAGCGGTCACATAGGGGTGGGGGAGAGGGTCTTCAGTGCTATGTGAGCTCTTTTAGATTACACAGGGTTTCCTCTATTTCCTCTGATGGCCGAATCCAGTGGTGGATTTTCTAAATTGACTGTGCAGAAGTTCAGTGTAGTGTGCTGGTTGTTTTGCTCCTAAAAAGAGGCATATGTCCATAGGTTGCTTGCTTATTGGTGTTGCAGACGTTCAGAACTGAAGTCCACATCTTAATAAGGGGTTTCATAGCAAAGGGGGGTCAATGCTTATGCACACTCAAGATTTGTTTGTTTTTTTGTCATAAAAATTATTTTACAACTACACAGTGGTAGGTACGTTGTGTACATAACATGGTACAAACCCCTCAAAAATCCATTTTAAATTTAGTTTGTAATGCAATAAGACAAGAAAAACAGAGTTTGAACACTTTCACAAGGCATTCTACCCTGTTGCTATCATTTTTGTCTTTTTATGCCGCAGATTTAAATGAACTAATTCTTGGAAATGATATGTAATATAGCAATGTGTTTTTTAAAGCTAAATAGATTCCCATAACTTGGAAATATGTGGTCATTCTATATTGAAGATATTACATATACAAAATATCTTTAGGTAAGCTGCTTGGGTCATGAACAATAATTAAAGTTTACAAATGCTGGCTAAGTCAGTGTGCATAGCAGTCCCTTTGGTTCACTCACGCAAGATGCATAGTTAAGCTAGAAGGTGGTTTTGTTTGTAGGGGGTGGTGTCTAGCTATGGTACGGCTTAAATGCTTGTGCACACAGGCTTCAGATTCAGAAGTAAATATAGTGTGGGGAATTCATCAAAACTGGAGCAGACAAAATCTGGAGCAGATTTGCACTGCAGCCAATCAGCTCCTCGGTCTCATTTTCAAATCTTATCTGGTTGCCATGGACAGCTGCTCCAGATTCTGTCTGCTCCAGTTTTGATAAAAAAGGATATACTCTCTGAGCACTGGCAGGAAGTCTTCGGTCATGTCTTCTGTCAGCTCTTCTAGTGCTGTGCTGCAATTCCCAACACAGGCAGACACTCCCTCTAGTGGCTCCCTTAGCTCTCCTTCAAGGGCACTCCAGGTAGAATAGACTGGACCATACTCCCGAAGCTCCACTAAATATTCTAATAGACAAAATCTTTTTCAGCCAAGAAAAAACTTCACATATTTGAAGCATTATAAAAAAGGCAAATAAATAAATTAGGCATTTTGAAGCAATATTTAGCAGACACATATACTGGACTTTAACCCCTTCGTGACGGGAGACGTACAGTGTACGTCTTGTCACTTTGTGCCTATATGACTGGCCACGTACACTGTACGTGACAAGTTATATCAGGCTTTGTAATGCCGGTATTTGCTGATTCTCAGCATTTAACAGTCATTCATTAATGTCTCAGTATTGAGGCATTAATTAATGAAATAATTAAGCTTTTTGTAAAAGCTTCTTCCTTTCATTAATGAAAGAATGAAGCCGTTACATGCAAATAGAGGACCGCAATTTGCGATCCCGTATTTGACAGCTCAAAATAGCAGAGAGGCAGCAGTGACTCACCTCACCTCTCTGCTATTTGTTTTGACAGCTCGAGAGCCCGATGTTTAGATACATTTCACTGAAAGGATACAATGTATCTCTTTTGAGTGAAATGTATCATTTCTGATCGTCTAGGCACGATCAAAGAGCTTTTAGTGAGATCTGAATCTGACTAAAGTCAGGATCAGTCTCTAAGGTTATTATTAGCTGTTCCTAAGTTTGGATCAGCCTAATAGCCAAAAATAAAATAAAAAAGTTAATTTATCAAGCTGTCATAGTGATTGCTTGATATAAACTGACAAGAAAAAAAAAAGTTTTTTTATTTTATTTTTATTTTTTTTACAAAGTGTAAAAAAATTAAAATAAAGTGTAAAACAAAATTAGGAAAATATAAATTATATATAAATATATTTTTTATACTATAATTAATATAAAAAAATTCTAAAAAAAAAAAAAAATAATCAAAACTTGTGAAAAAAGTGTTTTCTTCTAGTTTTTTTCCTCATTTTTTTTATTTTATTCAAACTAAGTGAGGGGTTAGGTACACATATGTGATATAATTATATAGCCCTATCTGTCCTCTAAAAAACAATATATAATATGTGTGGGTACATTTAGTAAGAAAGTATATTACTGCTGTGGAAGAATCACACAGCAAAAATGTAAAAAATGTGTCAGTCATTTATGAACAGAACCTGAAAACTAGCTCAGTCATGAAGGGGTCAACAGTCTTGTCAAACTGGCATGTTAAGTTACTTACATTCAGGAAAGCATTTGCACATGACCCTAGACTGTGTCTGTATAAGATATCTTGAAACTAATCAAATACTTTCGGCTTTCAAAGATATGGTATTTAATGCTTTTTTATTATGCATTTAGTATTTCTACTTTTGTACCTGCCCATTTTATTATTTTTAGAAATTCCGTGCTGCATTTTTCTACTATACAGATACTTAAAGGAGAACTATGGGGTCAGGGCTTTTCCCCATAGTTCTCCTAAGGGTAACGGGAGGACACAAACTAGCGTCCTCCCATCACCCTAAGCTCAGTATACCGCGAGCTGTACTGAGACGCAGCAGCCGGAAGGGATCCCGACAATTCTGTCTGGATCCACCCAGTTGCGTGAGTGACAGCTGCCTCTGCCTATCTAGAGTCAGAGCCAGTTGTACCCGCCCCCTCCCCCTTCCGTTCCGCCAGTCAGCGCTGGAGGATCAGGGAGGGGGGAATCCCTGCAGGGAGCCGTGAGTGACAGTCAAAGCTCTCTGCAGGGATAGATCGAGACGTGAGCGAGCGACGGGATGTGTTAGCTCACTTCCTGATCTATTGAGCTGAACTGTGACAGTTTCCTTGTCACAGGTCGGCTAGAACTATGAGTGATTTCCACTCGCCTCATTAGTTCTCCTTTAAGAGATTCACATAAACGAATGCATGTTTATAAAATTCTAAAAAAAAGTAGCTCTTCTCAGCCCCAGGAATGTAATCGATCTGTGCTTGGTTTAGGCGATTGTAGGCCGTTTTGGCAGGGTTCGGCTACAACCAGAATCCATGAGCTCTTGGGCTTTTCACCTTGCTACAGGAGTAGCCTATAAGAATGATCTAGTGCAGTGTTTTTCAACCACTGTGCCGCGGCACACTAGTGTGCCGTGAGATATTTTCTGGTGTGCCGTCAATAAATATCGTTAATTTCTTTGATCGATCAAAATTATTTTGATCGATCAAAGTTACTCACCTCTCCGCCGGCTTCCGGGTCTTCCGTCGGAGATCCGGTGACGTCACGGACATCGACGTCACCCGTCTCCTCCCCCCTTCCCCGAGTGGCTCTGTCGGCTAACGAAGGGAAGGGGGGAGGAGTCGGGTGATGTAGTTGTCCGTGATGGGTAACGAAGGGAAGGAGGGAGGAGTCCGGTGACGTCAACACAATGAAATTATAATGTGGAATCCCAGCAACGTCAGTGCAAACATCATTTGGGAATTTCCCCGAGTTCCAGGGGTCATCCTGGTACAAGGCAGAGCTATCCGGTCTTCCCCTGAAACAACAGGTTACTACAGTAGTTATCTACTGTTTGCCAATACACACAAGTCATGCTGAGAGAATTCACCTGGGCATTAACATAATAACAATGTAAAAACATATTTTGCTAAGAAATACTGTATATACCAGATTAGTCACAGATTGTCAGGTATTTTAATCTCTCACATATCTACATGACTTAAATAAACATTACCTCCATACCTGTATGTTCACAGTGCACGATTTTTTGCGATCGTACTGCACTGGAATGCTGGGCACTGTATTACCCTGCGGTCCTGTGCATCCAATCGCACTGCGGGCAGGACGGGTGTCTGTAGTGCTATTGACATGAATGACACTGCCATACCCCTCCCACCCCAGAACACAAGGAGACTTTGTGTATGCGATCCCTTGCATTCTGGGCACAGGACAGTGCGATGAGCATATGGGCTGGTGGAAACGAGCCCTAAATGTGACCTATAATCTGTGCAATTAAATTAAAAAAAACCATTTTAATTGTTTAGCAAAGTGAAAAAAATAATATGGCTGCATAAGTGTACACATTCTCTTAAAATTAGTGGTGTAGCTGTGTTCAGAATGAACTAATCACAGTCAAACTGATGTAAAATAGTAGTCAGTACAAACATGCAATCAATTAATGTGACTCTGATTAAGCCCATATGAAGTTCAGCTGTTTTAGTAGAATTTTTCTGACATTTAAGGTGCCCATATCGTACGATAATCGTATGCGATCGGGTTTTCGTACGATAATCGAGCAGTGTGAACAGAGACGTGCGACCGTTTCTACTGTACGGTCGCACGTCTTCTGTCGAACCAGCATGTTCGAAAACCAGCCGGGAATCGTACGATTCTCGGCTGGTTAGAACGGTGCTCGGAAGACAAATGCTGAACGGGCCGGTGTGCGCACGCGCACACTGCCCGTTCAGCATTGCGGTCATCGGAAGCCCGCCCCCTGCGATGATCGAGAGTGCGATCTGCCTGTCCAAGATAGGCAGATCGTACGTTTTTTTAATCCCTTTACAACCATCGCAAGACTAAAGTCTTGCGATGGTTGTAGAGTGTATGGCCACCTTTACTCTTTTTTCTCTGAGGGCCTGTTCACACGACGTCCGTTTTCTGTGCTGAGCTGATCCTTACGCTCCTGCACTAAAAATGCATCCCAATGTATTCCTATGTGTTTTATGGGCTCCAGTTCTCACGTTCAGGTTACGACAGAAAAATACTGCATGTCATATTTTGTACTGTCAGGAAACGCAAAACGCGTAAAAAACGCACTGCAGCTAACATACTGACAGCCCTACTCTACTTCCCGGTCCAGTGATCGGAGGCGAGATCAGTGGCTCCCGTGCCGGTCCCAGGCCCACACGGGGGACAGCGGAGCCCAGGGAAGCCGGCAACGGCGGAGGACACACACAGCATTACCGTACAAGCAATCCGCCACCTGTACAGACACCGGATCACTTATATAGAAATAGCATTAGCCTGCTGTTTAAAACGGTACCAAGAACACGGCTGCAGCAGCCGTGTTCTTGGTATAACCACTTTAATCGGGTGACATGTATTTACGTGAGCCCGCCTGAAGTGGTTAAAGGAGCTGCAGGAATTTCTGGCAAGTACTGGTTGTGTATTACATGCGACAACAATCTCCCGTATTCTTCATATGCCTTACTAAGAAAAACATCCATGCCCAGCTACATTTAGCAAAAACCTACACAAAGTCTGACGAAAGCATGTGGGAAAATGTGTTCTGGTCTGATGAGACCAAGACTGAACTTTTTGGCAATAATTTCAAAAAGTATGTTTGTGTTCAAAACAACACTCATTATTCACACCCCCAATGGGTGTTTTCTAGAGTACATTTCTAACGTACTGGAAATAAATCAAAAAATTCTGGATGTAAAAAACTGTCAGCCAAGACAGTGATCCTAAACATACCTCCACTATGATCCAAGTAAAAGTTTATCTAAACCGAAAAACAAAATGTAACATATTGCAGCTTACCGATGCTTCAAAGTGGTGGCTTTATTAGTTTTCTTTTTTCAGACTTTTTTGCCTTTTTATCCTGCAAATAACATACTTCCTGTTCCTTTATGTCCACACTAATTTTTCCACTGTATCCATCAAAGCAGCCATAGTTGTTTATCTGAGAAATGAAAAATGTATGCAGCCACTACATTTAAGGACTGGAAAGCTGCAATATATTACATTTTTGTTTTTAGGTTTAGATACACTTTAAAGAACAGCAAGCAGAAGGTTTTTGGATTGGCCCTCACAGTCCCCCGACTTAAATATCATTGAAAATCTGTGGGTAGATCCTGAACATGATGTGCATGAAAGACAACCCAAGAATATCTCAGAATTAGAAGTAATCTGCATAGAAGATCTTATCTGAACACAAAATGTGTTTACAGCTTGTGATCTGTGTCAGAGGCTGGTACTAAATACTGACTTACTAAAACATACATTGTTTGCATGTGCCACAGCAAAAATTTCCTTTGTTCCTATGTTTCTAGGTTTGCAAAATAAAATGTAATTGTTTATTAACATTTGAAAATATGTTGCGTCCCTAACTTTAGTAGGAAATTAATATGAAATGCATCTGTAAACAAAAAGGTAATATAATTCGAAAATATATGTTTTTAACTATTGCAAAGTTGTCCCTGAGCTCTAGTCAAGTGAGTGTACCTTGGTATAGTCTCACAAGTTCATCTGGGAAAGCATGCTGGGAAACTGATACAAGTTGCAGGCAGGAGGAAGCTTCTCCTCAGTCTTGCCTCCCCCATTGTTCATTTAAAACTAGTGATGAGCTTCAAAACTGTGACCAACACACTACACTCCCAGCCCAATGAATTGTGGCAGGTGCATTCCCTGCTCCTTAGCTATATAATCACAAAGGGGATGGGGATGCCCCTATCAGAGCTGCGGCAACTAATTAGGCCAGGAGGAGGAGGAGGAGCAATGGTCACAGTTTTGAGTGGGCTTGGGTGCACTAGATTTACACTAAGCCCAGGCTCATCACTATTCTAATATAAGACTGAATATTTTAACTTTCACATTACTGTGTCAGAGGTGGCAGCAGCAGGGCTAAGCTGTATGAATCCAACTATATACACACAGCCAATGATTTACATGATTGTGCCATCAACAAAATGGATTTTACAGGATTATGCCTGATCAAAGAAGGCACCATCCAACTAAGAAGAATGGAAGATGTACACTGTGTTCAGGAGGCATACTGTAAATGCATGTGTTACATATACACATTATTACGCATGTATGCATTTAGCATGGAAAAATAAAAAGTCTGATGCTAGTTTAAAATGACGCTAGTTTAAAATGACACTAATCTTAGGAGTTAATTCTTAAAAATACATTCAAGTACCTTAACTTATAACAAAAATGTAGCTTATTTGCGCATCACTCGGCTGTACATCCTCAAATCATCTCTGAATTGGTGCTGACACTGTCCTTCCTTCTGGAGGGTGGGTACTTTTGTTCCCCATGGACCCTGTGTGTGTTGTAAAGTAGTCAACGCTCCAAGCTCGCTCCTGTGATAGACTACAATCTCATGTTTAGTTTACCAATTGATATGGAGATTGTAGTCCATCATAGGACTGAGCTTGGACCGGTGACTACTTTACGACACACACACACACACAGGGACCATATAAAACAAAAGGTAGCCACCCTCCAGAAGGAAGGACAGTGTCAGCACCAATTCAGAGATGCATTGAGGATCTACAGCTGAGTGATACACAGAGAAGATACATTTTTGTTAATAGATAAAGGTACTTGAATGCATTTTTAAGCTTTAAAGCCTGAGTTTAGTGTTAATTTAATGATTAACATAAACATCTAAATGGTAGTGCAGGGTCAGCATATAAAAAAAGAAGAGTAATGCAATCCCTACGGATTTGACAGAACATACCTACTTCCTCTTTAATAATGCGTTGTGCTATCCTGTCAATAGTTCCAAGTTTTAGTGCAAATGTGTCCAAATACTCTACTATGGCTGAAAACTCCACAGGGCGATTTCGGAGCTTGTATCCACTTGTGACATATCGAACAGACTCTCCCATCTTGGAAAGCAGGGTGGCCCCCTGTTTTTTGTGACTGTTTAGATCCTACATGTAAACACAACCAGATTAGTTCACCAGAATCATGTCAAAATTAAAATATTAGTCACAGACTTGTTCAAGCATTTCTGATAAACAAGCAACTTTGGGACTTTTTTTGTTGAAGTTAGATGGCAATATTCCAATAATAACAAAACTAACAAAGTAGGTCTGTGTCTCATTTATCCAGGTCATGGTATACCTGTAAAAAATAACTCAAGGCAACTGGACTTGCTGTGTTTTTCAAACAAACTGGCTTTCTTGTTTAGTAACAGTAGAAGAGGGAAGGAGGTCTACTGAAAACCAACACACACTGACCAGTACCTGCTATTTGACTCCCACCACCCTCTAGAGCACAAACTGGGAGTCATCAGGACTCTACACCACCGGGCAGAGAAAATTCCCACCAGAACAGAGGCCAAGACAAAAGGCATTTAAACACCTCAGGGGGCCCTTAAAACTTTTGCTTTTGTCAAAACAGAAAGAAGAGGAAATAATGCCAAGAGTACCAGTGAGAGTGAAAAGCTTGACAAGCAGAAGAATTTGGTCATCCCATATGTAGCTGGGGTGTCTAAGAAACTCCAAAGGGTTTTTAAAAAACATCACATCCCTGTCTGCGTTAAACCCAGCAATACACCGAGGCAACAATTGGTTCATCCAAAAAACCCAACACCAAAACACAAGATGAACAACATTGCGTATGCAGTCCAGTGCAGTGAGGAGTGCTCAGAATTGTATGTCGGTGAAACAAAACAGCAGCTACAACAGCGTATGGCACAGCATAGAAGAGCCAAACCCTCTGGTCAGGATTCGGCAGTGTACCTACATCTAAAAAGGAGAAAGGTCACTCCTTTGAAGACAGTCAAGTATGCATCCTAGACAGGGAGGAGGACTGCTCCCTGCTTGCGACTAACAGATTATGTGTATGGAGCAACATTCACCATATTTATTCCCAGAGAATTTTTGTTGGATGCCCAGTAAAACGTCTGCAAGAAAAATACAGCAAGTCCAGTTGCCTTGACTTATTTTTACAGATAAAACTAACAAGGGGACATTCATCTGAAAGACTGGGCAGAAACATGCAAACAATTTATTTGTGTGTAGACAACTTCTGATCTAGACCTGCTGATTAATTGAAAGGATACAACCTGAAAATGGAGCCATCTCCTATTTAAGCTTATGGTATGTTGATTCTAAACAGTGCAGAATAAATAGTTTTATATTCAGGTTGTATATATGCTATAAACAAAGGATTATGGATTTGGCGCCGGTTATAGGGAAACTCCTTAAAGTGAACCTGTCAAGTTATAAAACTGTATCCTACTTAAATAGTCCAAAAGTGCGCTTGTTTTTGTGACAATAGACTGTAACTGTAGTTAAACACCCCTCTAATAATTCATTACTGCATGTAAGTGGGTAGGCAGCACAGACCATTTTTTTCACCTTTTTTCAAACTTTTTACCAGGCAGCCAAAAAATTAAGATACCGCTGACCAGGTAGCAATGATAAGTCAGTCTGGGTAAGATCTTTTAAGTTTAGAAAGGCTCATTGGCAAGTATAACATGACAATAAACTAGGATGGCAATCAGTTGCAATTTAATAAGACCATAAGAAATAAGCTGATGGTGTAGTAATATATATTACTACACCATCATTATTATTATGTATTTTAAAGGTGGATCTGTCATGGAGCAAAACATCTGTTTTGCCAGATTACTAGTTCTGGCAGGGAATACCAACTTCCAGTGCTTTTTTTGTACTTTGGATACAAAAGAAACGGTAATAACCTGCTAGGGAGAGTTTCTCTCATCTACTGTCCCCATGAAATCTGGATACACAGGGTGCCACTTGGACAGGAAGTAAGGGGGAATCTCCCGGAACAGACAGCCCAATTCTATCCCAAATAAAAATAAAGTTTTTGCTGGAATTCAGATCTTTAAGCAGCCAAAAAAAACAAAAACACAAAAAAAACCAGTAGAAGTAGAAGCCCAGGTGAGGGAAATCTACGTTTGAATGGACCTACAAGTCCTCTATTGAATGCCCACCTTAGATGTGAGAAAGACATGAAAGTGCTCATTAAAGGAGAGAACTGGATGGTCTGCAATCCTCTTAAGAAACTTGTCCAAGGCTCTTCTTCTGGTCTCTACAAACTCTTCAGAAAAACGGTCAACCACACCTTTCACTACAAATTTCTCTGGAAGAGGCTGAAATGAAGACAAAAAAAACCCACAAATGTGTGTAGCAATACACATACAGCTTGTAATATTAACTGTGCAAACATATAGTAAAAGACATGACATCGGTTTTCAAGTAACCTTATAGGAAACTTAATTTCACCCTCTGAAAATGTTAGTTTCATGTTGATCCAGTTGCTTTATAGCTCAACTCTAGGCCCACAAATAACAAACTCCCGTGATGGACTACAATCTCATGTTTAGTTTACTAATTTGTATTGAAGTTATAGTCCATCATAGGAGTGAGCTTGGAGTGGTAGCTACTTTACAACACACACAGGGACCACGGGGAAGAAAAAGTAGCCACCCTCCAGAAGAAAGGACAGTGGCAGCATGAATTCAGATGATTTGAGGATCTACAGCCGAGTGATACATTGCTGTTAATAGTTAAGGTACTTGGATGCATTTTTAAGATTTAACTCCTGAGCTTATTGTCATCATAAAGTAGTATTAAGGTCTGGGCATTTTTTACCTTAATGCATTCTCTGCATTAGGGTAAAAACAGCCCAGGACCTTTTTTTTTTTTACCCCAGTCCCCCCCACACTTACCTCTCAGCAGCACTCGTCCCCACCGCCGGTCCCGAATCGATACTCCGTACCCCGAACTTCTGGGTTGCGGGGGAGGATACTGATGGCAGAGGAGCCATCAATCAAAGAAAGAAGGGGCATGGCCTGTGTCTATGGACGCACACAGCCGCTGCGAGGACGAGTGCCTCCATTAGAACGATGGTGGCACCCGTGCAGGGGTGGGGGGGGGAAAGAGCATGGCGGGGACACATTATAAAAACGAGGAAATAAGTACTTTTAATTAAAAAAAGCCTCCAGCAAAGGAGGGTCTCCTTAAAGGAAAAATTTAAAAAAAAATTGCTTTAATATCACTTTAAGACCAATTTAACACAAACTAAGCCCTAGCCTTACCCCCTGCATTGGAGGCCTCTGTGTAAGCAGTCCAAAGCTAAAAGCATGCAATGCAGAGATTCCAGCACCATAAGATACTGTTCTGTTAAAAACTATTGTCATAATTGTAACTAGGCTCCTTAAAAGTAGTAAACCAAAAGAAACAGTCTCATTACATTTAAACATGCATAATCATCAGCAAATCAAAATTCAAACTTCTCAGGTCATTCTTTTTAGCCCGTCCAAACAGCAGCAACATACTACCTACGGGAATGAAGTGAGTAGGCTGGGTTTCTTCAAGTTTATTCCTCAACCAATCAAAGTCCTGGTACCTTCGACGTATAGAATAGTCAGGAAAGTCAAACTCCGCTCTTGTTGTCTGAAAATTAGGGAAAACTCAGCTGAAAACTCAACTCATTTCAAGAAGTATTACTAATATCCATTCTTAAATGCAGATATGTATCTGTTTTCCTGTGTGCAGCCAATCATTCTCAGCCCTGGGTTGCTTTTTAAGAAGTACTTGAGAATTCTTGAAGACTTGAGAAGCCTCCTCATCACTATGTGGCTTGCTCACATTCTTGTCCGCCTACCTGCACTGCCACTTCTATTAATGTATCTTCCTTGTGCAGACCACAGAGAATGAAGCTTAGCCCGAGACAGATCCACACGCGTGTCTGTAGCACTACGACTCAGCCAGTATCATTCATATCAGCAAGAATGGGGGAAGAGATTAACATCTCATTAAATGGATACCGTGCCTTTCTTCATAAAATGCTCACTTAACTGCTTGGAAGGCAGCTCAGGACTCCAAACTTCCCCAGCTCCATTAAAAAAATGTAGTGCTAATGGATTCTATTTGACGATTCAACAACAACTTTCAGTGACAATCCAATTACGCTACGAGTTACCTTTTAATGATATTCGTTCAGTTGATTACCTTGGTCATAATACGATAGGTGATATAGGTTTCCATAGTGCACACATGCTTCTTTGGGTCATCAACAGTAACAAAGAGGTCCCTTGTCTCTCCATCCATGTCATCATCTAGCTGTAGCCTGTTTAGAAGCGAGGATGATGATGCTGGACTTGAAGTATCTGCTGGGGTACCATTGGGTAAACTGAGGTCCTAAGACAAGGCAAAAAATATTGATAATGTGATAAATGCAAAAGAAAGCATAGTGCATTAACATAATATTTACTAATAGACTGTAAGGCCTCAGGGGCAGGGCCCTCCTTACCATCTTGTCTTGAATTGTATTGTGATTGTAATGTCTTCCTTATATTGTAAAGCGCTGTGCAAATTGTTGTCGCTATATAAATCCTGTATAATGATAATAATACAAATTCTAAAATCCAGATCTCTTCGGAGTTTCTACCCTAGGACTATCACCGCTTACAGTACAGCATAACCCCCCTCTTTGTAACTAGGTATCTTCAGTTTGTTAAAGGAAATAACAAGCGAGAACAATGCTTCAGCACAAAACCAGATAACAGGGGGAGGCATTATCCGAGACTTAAACAACATATAAACTTTATAAAAACACAATAAACTCTGTTTCCTAAATACAGAGAAAACAAAAGTTAGATATAATGCTTTATGACCATTAGAGATTGACCAATACCGTAACATAATAATTGGATGGAATCGTAAATATAAAAATATGTCATGGCTAAAAGGAGAAGCATTTGTTAGGCAAGAAAAGGGCTGCATACATAGAATGGTACAACGCCGTGCCAGGCTGTCAGAAAAGCATAAAAGAAGAAATGTCAAGTCCCCATCCTTTTTGTGGCTTCAAGCATTATTGTACAGCCAAACAACTAGTGGCTAGAATACAAGCAAACTTCACTGAATTCAAATCAACAAAGAAAGAAAGAAACCTTAAAGAACAACTCCAGGCAGAAAAGCACCTGGGTAGCAGCGGAAGTACGGGGGGCAGCGGGGGGGGGGGGAAGGCAGTCACAGCAGTCTCTCCTCCCTGCTGATGCTGGCTACAGTGGTCTGTGTCCCCACTGCCTCTGCCGATACAGGAGGGGAGAGCAGCAGGTATTAAAAAGGGACACAGACCGCTGCAGCCAGCACCAGCGGGGATGAGAGCAGCATCAACTAATCGAATATCAACTAAACGATAATGAGAATTGTTGCCAATGTTTCTCATCATCGATTATAATCGATTTCATTGATTAGTTGTTGCAGCTCGATGCTCGACCACTCCCCGCAGAGTCTCTCCCTTCCACTCTGATAATGGAATGTCCCTCGCGCCCTGCAAGAGTTCATTTCCCTGGAGTTGGTCTTTAAACCAGTCATTTCAAACTTTTAAAAGTGCAGCTATCACATGGTGCCTGCTGTTACCTTTATTAAAGCAGTACTTCGTGTCAAATATTTTCTTGACCCTTACAGTGGGGCTACCCCTGCACTGCAAGGGTTAAGTGCTCATTTATATCTAGGTTAAAAAAATAACAAAAAAGTTACACTTGCCCAATCCTCAAAGCTGGCCATCGTTTAAGACCAATCGCTTCAGCCTGTCTCCTCCTCCACTGCAGTAATGGCATGTCCCTCAGCGTCCTCACATCCTAGACACAGTGTATTGGGTGTGCTGACTCACGGGACCTTAGACCACTGCAGCGAAGGGGGAGCGAGGTGGAAGGGACCGATCTAAAAGCATGCAGCCTCCAAGGGCAAGTATGACTGTTATTTTTGAACCTAGACAAAAACAAGCACTTAACCCTTGCAGTGCAGGGGTAGCCCTACTGCAAGGGCTAAGAAGATTTTTACCCAAGTTCCACTTTAAAAAAAAAAAAACATCTGTGTGCCTTTCCAATTTAGTTTTACTTCCCTTACTTCGGGGTAAGCCCCGCCAAATGTCTCTCTCACTACTGAGAGAGTCACTGACCTGGAAGCAGCACACAGAACAGAAGTTCTGACTTCCCAAATTTTCAAAATGTACATATCTTGGTCTGGGTCAGGGACAGAGAAACTATTCAACATAAAGACCAGAGCCGGGTAACTAGTATTCTTAGAATGAGACCAGCAATGGAAGCACCAGGGGCAGTTAGCGGGGACTAGCCGTGACGTTTAGGAAATTCAAGCCCTAGTAACAAAGTGAACCTAAATCAGAGAGGAGCAAACAATTGACTTTTTGGCTAATAACAGTAATAGGAGAAATAATGTGGTGTCTGATCTTAGGAAGGAGTTTTGAAAGGTTAAAATAGCTGACAGGTTCACTTTATAGAATGCATGTGTAATGGAAAAAAAAATATCACACTCCCTCTGAACTTTACACATGTTAACAAGACTGTTTAGCTGGGTTGTAAGAATTCATACCATTAACCAAAAGTATTTCAAAAGCCTGTGCTACTGGTACGAGTGGAGTGCTTAGCATTTTAGGTACATGGCACTCGGATGACAAATGCCTTTGCTTTCATTTCATTCGGAAGGGTATGTAAACCCCAACAATGAATTTCTCTTATTTGTTTCCTTTTGGTCTGTTACATATAAAAGCAATTTGTTATATCTATTTAATAAGTGTAAAAAAAATACCAGTTGTTCATGCAGGAAATCTTCCTGGACTTGCTGCTATCACACTGTTCCCAGTTATCTCCGAGGACTAAAGAACACCTTCTCCTATCTTCTGGAGAAAAAGCAGAGGGGGCATGCTTTCTGTAGTCCTAAAACACTCAAACATAATCCAAAGATACAGTATGGTGCTATCAAGGCAGTATGTTGAGTGAGTATTGTGACCCTAAAACAGGTTAGGTTACTGGCCGCATCACTAGAAAATAAAGGAAAAAAGCCTTAAAAAAAGAATGCAGCTACCACATCTAAGGACTGGGAAGCTGCAATATATTAGGATTTTGTTAAACCAGGAACAAAGTCCTAAGGCTAATGGCAAGGTGGTACCACTTTCTTTATTCTCATGAATGTAGGATGGAGAAGTCATCTCTCCTAGTTGTCATCCTAGAGCAAAGACCTGGAATTTGTTTCTTGTATGTGCTAGGCGTTGATCTCTGAACGGAGAACAAGGCACATTTACATCACAGTCATGTCACCTTAATTTGGATGCAGTGTATGAAGAAAGTCAGATGCAGTCACCCCTGACCCATAAGCAGAGTGACTGTATCAGTTGAAATTGCAGATGCAGCAAAACCTAGGTGTCTGGGTTTCCAAGGCTGAAGATGCAGAGTACTGAAAAAACATATAAACAGCGCTCTCGGATGGGCAACAAATTAGCTTAGAGGCGTGTGTGCAGCCCTGGAAAACAGGAGGAGAACCTGTGGATTGTAAATATTCAAAAAACCAAGAAAGGGCGCAGAGAACACTGGCTAGTTAACAAAGTAGTGATGAAAAACTGAAGGTGGTGGCACTTACGTGTGAATGCCAGGATCTGGAGATGGACGGCCGGTATGGAGGATCGGGGCACTCGTGGTGTGGTGTCCGACTGTGATCGATGTATTAATCCAAGAGGTATATCCACGGGAGAGTGTAGATGAGAAGAGGGGACTTCGTCTGAAGTGCCGTGAGGGGTCTGTGCGGTGTGGGAGAGAGGCAGGGGGATCGCTGTGGTATCGGCAATAGGCAGCGGGCAATGGACGGGGCTGTAACAGCCGCAGCTGTGTGTGTCTCAGCGAGCGGTAACTGTCAGATCTGCTGGGGACCATGTGCAGAAGCAGCTGGCAGATGCCGCAAGTCGAATCCAATGACGTGTTGGAGAGGGATCATTCAGACAGGAACCGGGTGTTGGATCGGGCTGTGTCAGCCGTGGCCGCGTGTGTCAACGAGCCGTCTGTCGGGTCTGCTGGGGACAGTCAGACACCGAGGCTCGAGTTGATGGTGGAGTGGAAGGGGATCAAAGAGCGGACGAGAGCGACGCGTTTCGAGGTCTTGCCTCTTTTTCAAGCTCGGGTAAAACAGTGAGATGATGGCGGGAATAGGCCGGGTTTAAAAAGTGACAGATGGGCGGAGCTAGCGGTGGTGAGCGGTGATCCCGCGGTTTAAAATTGAGAGCGGGGTGGTTGGGAACGGGCATATATTTGGTAGCTTAATATGCATAAAAGCCATAAGAAACAGATATGTAAGGAAAGGGGCGGTGGGAAGGAGTTGGTGGTGTTAGATGGGGACGAGGGAAGCCATTGGGTAATAAAAGTGCTGGAGGTCGTGTTAGGATAAAAGACTGTTAGATGGTTGAGTAGAATGGTATTTTGGTGAAAACAGGACCTTGGTTGGAGGGCTAACATGTGGGAAATGCCTATATTAAAATTATCTTTATTGGGAACTCTAAAATATATAGTAAAAAAGAAGTTACAAAAATGGGGATAAAAGGAATAAAAGGCATAAAAAGAATAAAAAGACTAAAAATGTACACCCGTGTGCACACATACACATCCTAAAGATACACATGTACACACACATACACACAGCCGCACACAGATATGCATATGTGTGTGTATACATATATGCATCCACACACATACACATGCATACACACATGTATGCGCACGCATGCACATGTTAAAAAATGTTGCACCTTTGGAATCTCTCAACTGGAGGAAAACGGGTGGGTATGTGTTCTATGGCGAACACGTGTAAGTCATTAATCCGTTTCCCATGTTTAGCGGCAAAATGGAGGAAAACGGGTGGGTATGTGTTCTATGGCGAACACGTGTAAGTCATTAATCCGTTTCCCATGTTTAGCGGGATTGGATTCGACTTGCGGCATCTGCCAGCTGCTTCTGCACATGGTCCCCAGCAGATCTGACAGTTACCGCTCGCTGAGACACACACAGCTGCGGCTGTTACAGCCCCGTCCATTGCCCGCTGCCTATTGCCGATACCACAGCGATCCCCCTGCTTCTCTCCCACACCGCACAGACCCCTCACGGCACTTCAGACGAAGTCCCCTCTTCTCATCTACACTCTCCCGTGGATATACCTCTTGGATCAATACATCGATCACAGTCGGACACCACACCACGAGTGCCCCGATCCTCCACACCGGCCGCCCATCTCCAGATCCTGGCAATCACACGTAAGTGCCACCACCTTCAGTTTTTCATCACTACTTTGTTAACTAGCCAGTGTTCTCTGCGCCCTTTCTTGGTTTTTTGAATAGATGCAGAGTACTAAAGGTC